TTTGACCTTGGGGAAAAAAAACCTTTTTTTGCACAATTTTTTGGGAGTACCATAAAATCCAAAATTCTTAAAAATTTAAAATTTTTTTAAAATTCTTCAAAAAACTTCAAAACCCCAGCTAAAAAGTACTCCCACAACCATTTTCGAAAAATTTATTTAAACCTCTCCGTAAACCCTTTTTGCAGAAAAAACCGTTTGAAAAGGTTTTTCCCCAACAAAGAACCTTTTTGCCCTCGTAGAAATTCTTTCTGCATAAAAATGATAAAAATTTAAATTTGTGTAGAAATTTAAAAAATAATGGATAATTATGGAACCCCATATGAGGCCTCATAAATAAGGGTTATTCTAGGTTTAGAACATAATGGAATTTCCATACTTTGGGTGACGAGCCGAATATTAATATGTAATATTCATTTGTTTTTGTTGGTGAGTGAAACGTAACAAAAATTTTTAAAGGGAAAACTCGGGTTGTGTAGGGGGAACTGGGGTCGGGATGCCCAAGTATTTTTAAAAAGGGACGTACCTTTTAACGGGGGTTTCCGGGCGCATGGGGGGCCCTTCCAAAATTTTTTTGGGGGTTTTTTTCTCTTAATTAAATTTGACCAATAAGATTTTTTGATAAATGTGCAGAAAAGGGGGGGGATTAACCCCTTGCCCTCACTTTTCAGATGTCCGTAAAATTGGGGGGTTTTAAAAATTTCCCGTTATTCCTTGTTTGGAAAAAAAGACATATTTTGTTAATGTTTGGGAAAATTTTTTAAAACCAAAGGATTTAAAAATTAAAAACACCTTTGGGAAGGGTAAGGGGCCAATTTTTTTTCATAAATCGCTTTTTTAAATACGGGAAAATTTCTTTTTTTTTAGGGCAAAATTTTTCCTCACTTGTTACATATTTCTTCTTGCACTCTAACGCTCGCAAAACATTCATTTTTTTAACTTGTTAAACATGACCATTGGTATTATTCAGCAATGCAGCAGATATTGAAAACCATCTACGCTGCGTCACAGTTTTATTCGCCATCGACCATTTTCCCTGTTTTGAAGATAATGTGTTATGGCTGTAAAATAATGATTTTTTGGCGTAGGTCGTATACGCACATTTCAGCTTTCAAAAGAACTGAACTCGTGAACGGGACCGCATATTTTTTCCTGAACCGGCTTAACATATTGTTTGTCCGACCTTTGATTATTTTTTCATATTATACGAGTGGGTAGTCGTTAAACATGTTATTTTTAATAAAATATATGAATATATATAAATGACTGCAACGTTCGCAAGTTACTCCTTTTGATAAAAGTGTTAAATGCCATACTTTCTATCATAACATTGTTTTGGTGGACCTGGTTTGAAACGGGTAATCCCTTACTGTCATGGAAAGCGATTAATCTTAGCATTAGAGGAAATACGTGAGCAGGTTCTTACGCAGATAATGCAAATTGACCCGTTGCTCTGCATCTTTTGCCGGGTGACAGAATAGACGTTATTTCCATTAAAAACGAAATTAAAAAATTTTTAAATTTTTGGGGTTTCCCAGGTTAAAAAAATTATTTTCATTAAAAATTTTTTAAAGTTAAAAATTTTCATTTAAAATTTTTCGAAAAGCTTTTGAATTCAGATATTATACTTAAGATTAACTTTTGGTCGATATATTCATTAAAAATTTGCCCGCGTCCTGGACTTTAAATTCTACCTTCAAATAGAAAATCGTATTCTACATTATGGTCACTACATATTAAGATTTTATAGGCAAATTAGAGGGAAAGGGGTATTTACATCTTTTAGTGTGTATGTCCATGGACAACAGCTAATAATTTAATAAAAGTATTGCCTTATGGGCCTCTACACAACTTTTAAGGATTATTATAATTTGGTCAGAAGTGGTCATATTGTTACATTTAATCATATAAGGAAATAGATTTGAAAGTGTTTTTCGGCAGCATTGCCTACTGGACAGTTACTAGAATGATATGAATTATGACTCCTAAGCCTTTATGGCACTTATTGATCTTACTGTGAACGGAAAAACCTTGGCATTTCCTAGCAATGAATACCAGGTGCTTAATATATTTATCTATGGATTATGTTTGCATATTCTTATTTTTTCCATCTACTAGACACAATCATTTGGACCATCTTACTAAAGTGTCTGCTTTTTTCCCATGTTGACAAATCAAAACATAAAGGCACCCATTATAATGCCGCTCATACATGTCATTGCGTATAAACAAAAAACATTAAAAGATGTATCCGGACGATACCCGATATACCTAATAGCTGTCATCTTTAATGGGGACGCATTTCTGGAAAAAAAATAGTAAAAAATCTTAGCCGAACGTTGCGGCAAATAGGGAATGTCACTCGTTGTAATTTTAATATACCTTCAGCTTCGGCCAATTCTTAAAGTAGCAGATCGTGTTAAAATGAAATTATATTCTGAAAGACCGTACACTCGGATAATACGGAACGATAGGATACGCCGTTAAAGGATCGGAAAAAAACGAACATCAATCAGTGGTATCGTTCCTGTGTGCCTATGCTCAGGTCCCTAAATGCTTTTTACTTTACTTTATTTTATTATTCTTAAAACAATATTTACTTCCAATTGATGGGGATACACTTGTGGCTACAGAATCATTTCATGCTTCAGATTTATTTTTCTATGTACATTGAATACCTTGTACATGGATTCTTTTCTTTTAATTCGCAAGTTTAACGGTATTTTCGAAGGTCACACTTCCTTTGCAACACTCAATAATATAATCTAAGCCAAATGTTTGGCCATCAATTCAAGAGGTAAATCAACCAAGGTCACCTTCAAAAGCTTTGAACACTTCATTTACTCGTTAATTATGCAAATATATGTGAAATGATAATTATTTGAAACAAAACGCAGTTTTTCTATAAATAAAATGTGAACAATAGTTAACGATCTCTCGAGTTATAATGAAAAATATTTCAATTACATTTGTGAAATAGAAGATTTTTTCATTACAAAGGTTTTTCCTTTTGATATAAAAGGCTTAAAGATCACCATCATTACGGCTTTGTTAAAGAGTATAATTATATGGTGTATAATTATCTAAAATGAGAATGATTAAAAAGCCACTTTGTTAGATAAATACTTAGTAAGATTTAAAGGTATTTCTTTTGTTCTTTTGTAATCTGAGTTCTTCATCCAATGGATTTTGTTTTAACTTTATAAGAAAACACAAAAGAAAATTTGTTAATGAAATCTGACCATTTATTCAGGAGGTGGTGTTTCTTAAAAATAACAGAAAAATTATATTCTCACAGCTTGATCATTTTGAGATGCATTGGACTAAAATGTGTTTATAACCAGTCTCATAACGTTGCCGTAAGCCTTAGATCTATTCCCAATTATTCAATATGTCTCCACTCGCATTTGAATTGTTTAACTATAAATCAGACGAACGACAAACTGATTAAAATTTTATTTCGTTGTTCACAAATGTATGCATATAATACAATCAAGCATTTGAATAAGACTTTATATTTATAAACACTTAACAAATAGTATACACAAAACATAGGTATAAATACTTGAATAATAAAAGAATTTCCTCAGCATGTGTAAATATACATATGTACATGTGTAAAAACGTAAAGTTTGTGAGGATCTCGTAAAAGTATGTTTACTATGCAAATCAATATCAGGACGACTCGTAAAGTAATTCATTTCTTGAATATCATAATTTAATATGACTGTAATTGTATATTTCATCGAGATAAATGTGTCATTAAATATATTCTATGTAAATATGTATTAACCTTACAAATGTAAATTAAAAAAAATACATTGCCTGCAAACTTTTGAAAAAAATACCACGATATGAAACTTATGTCAAGAAAAGAAAATATACAAATAATTGGTTATACAAATACTTATTATTATCGTCAAGCTACGTCTTTTAAGAAAAGGTAAATGCCTAACAGTATCTAAAACAAAACACTTTTACTATTGAGAATTCTACATGTACTAGTATAGTATTTACGCATGTTTTATTCAAAAACATATATCGGATAATTTCAAACTAAATTACCTTTTTTATCAAATGATTTTATTGATTTGTACACAAAAAGCACAGTTTGATGTTTCCTTAGATCAAAGCCAATAAGACACGCTATCAACTAGCCATTTAAAAGATTAATCTAAATGAGCATGATCTTAACACTTTGATCAAGTTATTTATTATATGAAGCAATTTTCATGATTCTGGTTTTGATTCCGTTTATATTTCTACAATTTGAAACAAATTCTACCAGGTACAGTGTGTACTATAGTGTGAATAGTGTGAACCTTGATATAAGCAATTTAAGCTCCAACGTATCAAACCTACATTTTCTTAATAAAGACAGGAAAATACTTAAAAAAAACAGCAGCACAATATAAAATAAACTGAATGAATGATACAATAAATGTGAGAAAGACATGAGACTATAAAATCAAACACTCAATGTGAATAAACTTTCTTGATTAGTATCAGATAGATCATTAATTTTAATGACTATTGTTAGCTATCATAAGGTTTGTAAAGAATGTGTATGCTTCGTTTTCGAACTAAAATAGCGAGACATATACATGTACATTTGTGTATGATGCTCAATTGGAAATAACTATATAAATTAGATATGAATTGGGTCGAATTGTATAGTATTTAGTATAGTGAATTGTGAATTTGGCAATAATACATGTAACAGCACTAAAATACGTTAATGTCAAGCTACTCTCAGTATTTTCAGGAAATTTTGCAACGCTTTCCTAAAATACTGACAAAAAACAATGTATGAATGTGCAGCAAATGCATATCCGATCAATTGAATGCTAGATGAAAATAAGCACCGTTTGAAGAGTAATGAATTGCCAGTATTTTCTTTATACATTATAAGTACGCATCCATAGAAGAAACATTGGTGTCTCCTGTTGTTCAATGTAACGTTCAGATGATAAGTACATGTATCATTGATAACTTGAGAATTATCTGCCTTAAAAGAAAAGACTATAGTCACTTCTTTTTCCTTTTCGTCAATGTTCCTTTTTTCTGTGTAGGCCTATATACTTTTCATATGCAGGTTAATATAGGCACTTGCAGCTTGATAGCAGAACTCAAGTTGTTTCTAAAGTAAAATAAAACAAACTTTATCAGGAACATACTTAGTAAAATATAAATGTTTATATACATTCCCTACCATTTTAATCAAAAGGTATACATCTAAAAAAAAAAATTCTTTAAAAAATCATAAATGGTTAAATTATGCTTAAATAACTTAATGGTCGACTGTCAAAAAGTTGTTACACACATTGTCTCTGTTATTTAACACACAGCATAATATTTTACGTAGAGTAAAACGCTTCGGAACAAAATACTATTCTGCTATGTACTTTTCTGTTAAGAATATATTTAAATATATTTCTGTCCAACAAGCACAATGCAACTATTCTTTATCAAAATTCAAATGATAAGATTAAAACGTTTGAAGTAGGGCTTTATTCGTTAACAAACTTTGGATTGTTGATAATATCTAAATATACGAGGTATGTTCAAAACGTTCGTGGACATTTGCTGCCATTTTTACTTGGTTCATAAAAACAACCTGAGTTGATATGAATCGAAAGAGTATCTTTATTTCTAAAAGTAAGTTTTACTTTTATCTTAAACTTTTATTTTCCCTACGAATTATGTGCACTTTCATAACCATGACAACGCAACATCGGCGCTCGGCGAAATTTTCCTACTATTTTTAATATAAACAAATGTTGAAATAAATTAAACGGCTATTTCATCAGGCAAAATTGGGGTAAACATTTATTAATATTTAATTGACATATACATGAAATTCGACGTCATTTGGGTGTGACATGACTAAACAAACAAGTTTTGAGCAGCAGTTGTCAGTAGCGTAAATTGCAAAATAAAAAGCCCATTTAAAAACTAGAAATTCGCATTTTCGGAAGGTTTTGCCAGCTAATTGCGGAAACTCATTCATTTTCATATGAGGTAGTTAATCTAACAAAGGACAATGAGTCAGCGAGCAAGTAATTAGGTTTCAACTAGTTTTTAAAGAAGACATTTGCAACGGCTGAAGTTCCAGAGTGGACTCTGTATTTTGATTGAAGATATTGAATAATTCGGAAGAAATTAAATGGCTATTGGTTTATTTAAATTTTGGCCTCGTTTATCTCTGATAGTATTAACGCCCCTGTAGGTTATGTGAATCCAGCAAGGGGCATTGGTTACTGTCCTATAAGAAGGCTATTAAGTATCTTTACGAAACTTTCTGTGGTTCGGGTTTCGTTCCTAGCTTAACTGATAGACGGAGGGGAACATGATATCTTACTACTCCAGTTAGAGCTTAAAGGGTTGCATCTCTTCCTGAATGGTGTTTACACCATACATCTTCATAACCAAAATGCCTTACATTTTAACTAGTATGTTCACTGCTTTATATGATCAAAATAACATCTAATTATAAAACCGTTTGGAATAGAGACACAAAAAATAGTTCTGAGTGGTCCGACTTTCGACATAAAATAAGAGCTGTTTATCATACTAAGTTCAAAGCTGATTTTGCCGGTTTAAAAACACATATAAAGTGCACAAAATTGTGATAAAGATTTCATTTTGCTTTTAATAACAAGAACTTGCGTGTATGTATCTATAAGCAAAGGAACACAATTTGTACAGAAAGGGATTCATACCATGTATTGTCTTCCATCAGCCATGTTGGATGTCTAAACTACTACGCAAAACATTTACGCAATACAAGGTTTTAAACAGTTATAGTACTAGTGGGGTTAAATATTCAGTAATGTTGAATAATAGGCAATTTTTTTCGTACCTTGACAGTTCTATTTCATACACATTCCAATATGGTAAGTAAAGTATAAGAAGGCTTACGAATGAGTAAAAACGTGCTTGTATTTATAGATAGTTTTGGTACTTGTCCGAATCGTCTGTTTACCTCCAAAATACATATATATTATATGGAACAAAGTGGGAGGCTGTGGTAAAAGTATTGAAGCAGTTATTTGCTTTTTATGCATAACACTTTTACATTGTCTTTAAAAAATGTTGGACATATTTTTTGAAATTCTCATGTAAGAAAGAATAGCGGCGTTTTTTTAAGACTCTTAATGTTACTTTTTACTTGTACAAGCATTATCATGTACCAAATCAATGAATAGAATAGGTAAAATTAAAAGACAGTACCTGGCTTGTAATTGCCGATGGTCTCCTTGTTCTCAAATGTCTTAGACTGTCGATAATGTTAACCCGACGCTCATGTTTTATTTTCTCCAAAAGTATTATTACTCCACAAAATAAACCACTCCTCTCGTTTGCTTTGCTGAAATGCATCATACGAGATATACTACATTAAATTTCAGGGAATTATCATCAGTATCTGGTATATACTTTTCCATCTCAGTTTTCGTTCTTATTGTGTACTAAGACTTAAACGTTAAACACTGTAGAAAATCAAAAAACAGTTATTTGTTTGGCGATTTACAGGTGATCTTTCAAAACTTTAAAGACGGCGTTGAAAACACTATTTGCACATATCCAAATACGTTATATGCTATCAAATTGTTAATAAGTTTCCCTGATTCTTTGTCTGTTAAATAAACATTTAACAAGTCCGGACCATTATTGCCCTATTCCGACTTTTCACAAAAATAAATAACTCTTATTATTGATAAAATGCAAATGAAATAATATTGGCTTCTTGTGTTTCGTATGTTTTTTACGGTTAATGAAAACCATATATCTTGAAACCTTTCGGAAATCTTTATCTCGTTTAAGAAAGTCTTTACATGGATAAACAGTAGGAACTGGAAGATGGCAAAAATCTGGATCAATTCCTGACAATGAAAGAAAATGTAATATTTCCTCTTACTTACATTAAGATATATTTCGTGTATAACTTGATAGATCTCTATACACTGATTTGGAGGAAAAACAGCTTATAAATGAAATGAGTTTTTTTTTAATACCAAAGCTTAATGAATTGTTAATTTCACAAAGTGAAAATGTTATCAGAAAAAATATCAATATTTACTTTTAAAATGTCGAAAAAAAGAACAATGTTAAATACTTGTATTATATTTGGTAGATGATGCAATTCACCTAATTTGAATTATCATGTGAAACATGAGCTTTGATTTAACCAGGTTTTAATATTGTTACAAAATCCTTGTCTTCATTTCATGTTAAATAGCCAATGTATATATAGTGTTTCTGTAAGTATGTACATATGTGCGATGGTGCAAGCGAACGTTCGTGCGTCTGTGTATGTATATACATTACATTGCTCACATGTTTTTTGTTAATCAATCTAAATCTATAAAATGATTATGTTCTTTGCGAATTTAAAAACAATTAATTTTGACCTTACAGACAATGCACAACGACCGGTGATTTTTCGTCCCCTAATTCATTTGCATACTCCTCAACTTCATTTGCAAACTGCACGAATTCACTTGCATTACCAGGAATATCGTTCTCAGCCATCCATTTAGTGTATTGAAAGTGAATAATGCTCTTTTCCCCGCTTTCATACTAAAACAAATAATGACGGTGTTAAGACAAACGTTTTACCTATCACCTATGAATTTTTAAGTTGCTTATTCAAAAGTTGTTGTCTATGTTAATGATCAACAAATAAAAATATTTAACTGTTTGTGTGGTGCCTAAACGTTTAAAATTGCTAGAAAATACCTTTTTGACAGTTTTTGTAAGTTTCTTTTCCAGTACTTTGTATTTTTTTAATGTAATTTTAAATTTCTTTAAAGTCCGGTAAACAAACTTGATATTTGGTACCTTCAAGACCGGGAAATTGAGTATCAATGAAATGACAATATTAGTTAAAGGAGATACTACCTTTCCTGTATATTTTATCTTCATTTTTCGTATGATGTGTGACTGTTTAGTCTCTAATCTTGAGCATGACACTTTGAAATTTCCAACAGTTAATGTTTTCTTCTCTTCAGGAAGGTACATACCGACTGTCTATGCGCACGAACCATAAATAGTAAATAGAAATATATTACAAATCTTGTTTTTAACAAATCTTTATTAGATTGCCTTTAAATAAAGCTTATTACTTGTCAGCTTTATTATTGTAATAATTAGTCATAGTTATCCAATGAATTCTATTTGCAAACATATTCCGGAAGAATATGAATAATAAATATATATATTCATACCAAACATTATTCAATAAAACCATAATATAATAGTATTAAGGCAGACCACCCTTAATGCATTTCATCCACTATGGAGGGTATTATTTGTCAATTGCATTGAAACTGAGGGGTGTGGGTTCAAACCCCAGAAGGAGCAATTTTTTTTCTTTATTTTTCTTTTCAACCTCATTCATGTATCTCTCAGATCCGTTATAGAAAAGAAAAAGTTTTTTTAACTATATAATTTTGTAAATTTTTGTTAGCTGTAAAATGTCAAATTTAATAGCAAATATAATACCTGTTATTTTCAAAGTTTATAAAATAAAATCTACACTTATAGCTTGCAAGATCAAAAAATAGACAAGTTTTAAAAACAGTCCCTCATTGTGATAAATTTTAGGGATGTTTTGAATAAGGCTTTTTATATATGGAAATTGTCAAGTGGGTGTGGTAGGGTAGCATTTTCATAAATATAAAAATATATCATATAATGTATCATTTTGCTCGTGTAATTTGTTACCTGAATGTAATTATTTGTTTCTTAACAATGACCAATAGGAAAACATTTTTCAAAACGAGTATTATATTATAGATTATTTCGAGTTTCCTTATATCTGAAAAGGAGCCCTTCTAATAGCAAATATTTAGTACAGAAATATGTCAATAACTCATAAACCACAAGGTAAATTTTGTTTGAATATTGGTGACCTTTAAGGCAGATAACTGTCCGATGTTGTCAATTTTAAATTTCTTTATAGTAAGGAGTGGTCTACCTTTATTTTAATTTTAAAAAAATCCTAAGGCAAAAACAAATCTCATTTGCACGGAAATTAAATGCATATAACGGAAACAAACTAGGTTCTAAAAAAGGTTAATCAGTTTTATTACATACAGTTGTACAAGTTTTTAAACATTTTATTATAAAGTCAAATTTCAAACTTTTAATCTATACGTATTTAAAATTTTTGAACTCATTTACAAAGACAACGAAGAAAATTTCTAACTGTCGAAGACTATTTTCTTAATCGTTGCATAATACACAAATCATGAATGGAAATATATTTGACGGCCACCGTCCTACTTTTTGTGTTTACTACTGCCCCTAAAAGTAAAGAAATTACTTGTGTAGGTCATTTTCAGGAGTAGATAACTGTAAATTAGGAATACAAATAATTTCAAAATATTTTTGAGACTTCATTCCTAGTCGGTTTGCAGAGATCAAAACAATTATACCTTAAATATTTTGCAATGATTCATTTATTTAACATCATGCATTTTCAACCATCGACCAAACAAGGGCATAATTCGATGGGAAGTTCACATAACCCGAAGGAAAGTTCTATGATTTCGCACAACCCACTATTTAATAAAAATATTCTTCAACAATTAAGCAAATATCATACCATAGCAGGAAAGTAACTATCGAACACGAATTTAAATTGTTGCCACAGCTTTGACGAGCCAAAAAACCATATTAAGGGACAAATAGCTCAAATATGAAAGTGATCCAAAATTGTTTCTTTTAATATTTGTTTCAATCATGATTCTCTTAAAGCCTGCAAAGGATATTCCCTGCTTTTAGTTATTTTATTTCTTTTTTGACTTTGTAAAATACATTTCAATTTTATATTTTTAATGTATTTATCATTTTAATAAAAATATTCTTTCCATGATAAAAATTTTGTTTTAGATTCAGCGGTATAAAACAACACATGTTTACCCAATACAAATTATATGTTTGCCCAAATGTGTAAATGTTTACCCAATACAAAGCAAATTAATATGTAAAATTGCACATATACCATAACTAATATACTTCTACAAATATTTGTCACAATCGAAAAATAGCGAAAAAGTTTTGTGTTATACACATAATTATTCCAAAGGCATTTCTGGAATGTCGCTTGCTCGTATCCGAGTTAATGTACTGAAATGCGTATTTAGGCTAAGACGAATCTATTCTTTTCGATACGATTATAGGAGAGACTTATGTCGTAATTAGTGTATGCTTCTTAAACAGTATAATCCGTTTAGTATAAAGCATGCATCTTTACCATTCCAGGTTCATTTAAATCTTCCATAGCGACAACACAACTACAACCTTCTTGGTAAATTAAAGCAAGGAAATCTTCGACCGTACTTGGTAAAGGTGATTGCGCTGCAATGAAGTGATCTTTTCTCTTGAAACTCTGCAATTGAGGGGCAAATAGTTTTAAACTGTCCAACAAGTTAACGTTAAAATAAATTAAAGGAATCTTAGTATCTAAAATAATATTGTTCACTTATGGATAGTTTATCCATTTGGCGATTCGGTGTTTCTTCAATTGCTGATATCATTAGGTAATTAGTCTTGATTGCTACATGATGACCTTGCATGAGAGCACTTAAAATGTTGAATAACATAAATAGAACAGTCATAAAACAAATCACTATTTTACGATTGAAGAAGAGGAAGAACAATGTAATATAATCAATAAAATACTTGCGTTTATATATACTGCATTAATATATTCAGAATCGTCCCCTTCTCTGTTTAAATGAAGAAATATGCTGAATCGGCTGCCTGAAATCAAATATATTTGCCTTTGATGAGGTATAAAACATATACAAATGAACTTTTTTCTCATGTACTTATTTGCCATAATCTAAATGACATTTCGTTGCTGCTTTTTTCTATTTTAGTATGTATTTTCTTTGATTATTTCATGAAGGTTCTACCTGGAATGTCTGCTCCGCGACGATTCTTCCCCGAACGTTCTTTATTTTTGATGCGAGCTTTCTGTTCTGCTTCGCTGTCTGTTTCAATTGTCTGTTGCAATTGCTATACAATAAAAAATGTGAAACGTTAGGTCACTTCATCAGGCCAAAACTTAAATAATGCATCAATGTCAACTTGTCAAGACATGTTTAATCATATTTTGCTTCCCAGAATATTTGAATGAGCTCTGAGACTTGAAGAACTATAATTTAAGATCCTCACGATTAGAGACAGACACTTCTAACCTTACGCCACTCTATCCCTTTTAATATGTTTGATTATGTAAAATCAAAAATGTCTATACGTCTTTATCATACTAATAACTCTCGTGAAATAGAAAATATACATTCGAAGTTATCCTTCAACGAATAAAATTATTTGATGCTATTGTTTGTTTTAAATGTTTTTGTTTTATATTTGTTTATTTGTGTTTAGTAATGTACTTTTATTTTGCTCTCATTAGTTACATTCTGATCACAGTTGACAAACATCAAAAAGCCAAATGGTAATTTGTATTTTTTAAGTAAATGTGTGCAAACTTTAAATTATTCACGAAAAACGTTATTGAACTATAAGACTCTTTGTACGATATTTTCATGTTTTATGCAATTGACAACAAAAATATACCCAATGACAAAAATAAAATGCACTTTTCCAATCAATAAAACTTTTGAAAAAAATGTTTTAAATCTTTCTTTATCTTAATTTTTGTTTACTCTAAGACTTGTAAAAATGCATGGCATAATGCTATATATATCAGTTCAATCATAAAGGAGAGCTGACTATTTAAAGCTTATAGTTGAGATACAAGTATGATACAAGACTGAATACATTTAAAAGTAATGACATACCTGGAATAGATTGCTGAACATATCTCCATTTGTTCGTTTAACATATTCACTAATTTGTTCAACGGGCACAGCTTCAGCGCGAAAAGTCAAAGCCATTACCAAAGCTTTATGAATGTAAATGTATTGTTCCTAGAAAAGAAAATGAAATATAAGAAACAAAATCTGTAGAATCATTTAAAAATCTTCAATATGTAATCTTATTTGTCAAATTAAGTATGGCAAAAGTCAGTTTGAAGTCAACTTAAAACATACAAATGATTACTTACAAGTGTTTGAACCATTTTTACTCTCTGTTCCCTCATGCTCTTAACACATTCAAACACGTTCACTGAACGTTTGTCCATGCCCTCTTCTATCAGCCTATCGATTGCTATCAAAGTTCCAGTTCGACCGATGCCCGCGCTGAAAATATTTACATGTTAAACGTTAAAAAAATACAAGAAATGTACATATAAAAGTAAAGTAATGTTATGAAACCAAACAAAATATTCATTGTGTTACATTTCAGCGCCTTTCGTTATTTGAAAGCACTTGCTTTGTTTCATTCCATTATTTAAAAAAAAACTCTTTCAATGCAATAATTTTGCAAGCTGCTTTAGTTTAGGTAAAGAAGTTTAAAAGAGAAAAATATTTTTTTTTAAATGTATTCCTCTGTAATTCATACATTGAGATAACTTGAATAGTCGATATGTCATGTTACGATTTAACATTCTCTGAATAACAATGTACTAGTCTGGATTGGGTACATATGGTTTCAATAACGAGTCCAAACAATAAATCATTATTGTTATGCTTTAATATTTAACCGTTGAAAATAGTACAGATGAGGTAGAAACTGGACGACCTGAAACAGTTCTAATTATGTAGCGGTATTTTCGTCATGATAACAGACATTTGTCATTCGTAATTATCAAACATGATTAGCTGATTCGAATGCAGTGTGTATTTTTCTTATTTTCTCAGTAAGTTACCAGTATGACCATAACTTTGAGACAATATCGCAGATAAGGAAATAATATGATAGGTCAATCATTTAGCGCTTAACGTTCGACTTTTTTCATGAAAATTCTGTAGAGGATTTGGATATAAGACATACTGTTAGAATGAAAATAAAGAAAGCACAAAGAGTTAGCTTTTATGATGATATTGAACTAAAACTGGTGCAGTTATAGCATGTGTTCTGCACAAAGTCTTATTCACCAAAATTTCATAATATTCTTTTCCATAAAGTAAATATATACGTAAAGCAACACAGCAAAGACTCAAATTTTGATATTAAAATTTTGCATTAGTCTTAAGCCTGTAAGACTGCCTTAAACGTACTGTACTTCGTCGATTCTTGTTTATCAAATAAAAAAAATCAGTATGACGCTTTAACAATAAAGTCGATATGGAAAAATATAAGTAGACATAAATAGAAATACAAATTTAAAACATTTGATCTCGAAAGTAAAGTGATATCGATTTAGAGTATTTGCGATTGCTGCAATGATTCTAGTTTTATAAACAAAGAATATAATACGAGTCATGATAATTTGATAATTTGTTTCTTCTTTAATTACTACTTTTACAATAATAATTACTTACATAATACGTAAATCCATGTAATGTAACAACTGGGTACTAAAATTTCGCTGTTTTTTTGTTTGTTATACAAGGTAGTCTGAAAACCTTGTTGAAGTAAAATTTAATCCTGATTGACCTTTATGTATGACCTTGCCTATGTAAAAAGCAACCTTTTATTGGTTTGTATGTGTGCGTGCGTTCTCCCGTACGTGCTTGCGTGTGTGTGTGTATGCTTTGCATATCATACTAGTGATCATTTACTCTAAGTGATATTGGAAATTTTATTAAATTTAAGGTTATTTTATGCACACAAAATATGGACTGACTTCATTTTTATCCTTGTGTGACCACGACCTTGGTGGTAGTGACCTGATTGTTGCGCGCTAGACATCATCTCATTGATATGTTAACTTGTGCCAAGGTATTCTAAAAATTGTAATAAATTCAAAAGTAATGACGTGGAAAGACTGACTTTTTTTAAATGATACCTTTAAGAATGACCGTGATTTGTTGGTAGCGGCCTAGTTGTTGCGCACTGCATATCGTCTTATAATGATGATGTGTGCCAAGTTAATTATTTTGTAGTTAAAACGTTATAGAGAGGATACCAAAGGCTTACTGTTAACGTTTCAAGACTGACCTTCACCTTTAGGTAAGGGACATTATTGTTGCGCTCCGCACATCGTGTGATAAATATAATCATTGCTGCCGTTATGTTTTAACTACTTGTAAGAAAAAAACAGTATTTAAGTTACGAAGCAGACACGATTTTTTTTAATTTGACCTTTAAGAGTGACCTTAAATGTGGGATAGCAATCTGGCCGTTGCTAAATTTACATAGTATACTAATGGTGTTAATTTGTACCTAGTTATTTTTTAAAAAGATCGTTACTTTTAAAGTTATGTAGCGGACCAAAAAGCTGATTTTTACATTCTTCCTTGATTTTGGATTTATCGACATGTTTTTGCTCTGCACATGGTCTCTTAATAGTGATCATTTATGACAAGGTATTTAAAAACACTTCATAAGTTTAAAATTCATTAAGCGGACCCAAAATACTGACTTTTCCACATTTGACCTTTGAGGGTAACCTTGACTTTTTGGTTGCGAACCTTGTTTTTCGCTCCTCACATCGAATTATAATGGTGATCACTTGTGTTTAGTAATTTAAAAACGTTAACTTAGTTTAAAAGTTATGGAGCGGATATATCAATGTTACAGATCGACAGGGTAGCAGACGCTACACGGCAGAGAATTAGTAACATGCATTTGTTTACAACATATTTTATAAGAATAACAAATAGTCATAAAAACACTGAAACATATAGGCAAAAGATGCTATCTAATAAGTTTGTGCTTATCTAGAAGGCAACATAACTGTGCGGAGAGGTAGTCAAACGTTGGAGCTTAGACAACAGATGACATCACATAAACTTAAACCTAGCCTAGAATGATTGCTATTTTCTTGTTATGAAATTTATAGTTTTCTAGAACCTGCAATGTACAACAACTGGACCCTCTGAAGTCGTTGGCGTGCTCTTTAGTCTTTGTCGAAACTCAAGTAAGGTTGTGACGTCTTCTGGAACAGTTTTATCGGGCCATGCTGTGTAATGAAGATGTGTTAGTAAACGGTGTTCATCTGCCTGAATAAAACATCATTCTGCGATATATATTGTGCCCAACCCCTTTGAAATAAAACCGTTGAATAATGAAAAATTGTATAAATTAAATAAAGTTAATGTCACGATTTCTAATTCGGATTAATTATATATTGCTATTATCTTTTTTTTTCAGGGCTATAGAATTATAAAATCAAACATCGTTTGGAAGATTTGTATTTGTTGAGTTCAAATTTACCAAAGCTTTGTAAATTAAATCATGTTTGCATATTAGTAAATTACACGTTCAGAAGTCAGTCCTTTTTAAATTGTATAATTGTGTAATGAATTTGTAATCGGGAAATAAACTTCAATCTATTTTATAATGAATATATATAAACGAAATTAATATGTGAATATCAACAATTTAAATATTATTGTGAAATAAATATATTCATCATCACAGTGACTGACACTTGTAACATTTATCTGTTACCAGATATCAAAGGAAAAATCCGTTATAAAATGGATCGAACAAAATGTTTTGATATCCCAAATTACCTTTGATACCGTAAACGTTCTCACAGTATACTCTGCAAAAACTTCAGTGTTTTTACTTGTGACGGTAACTTTGCCATACTGACACATAGAGGTATCATTTGGCCAATACTGCTCACATTTCATTCCCTATAAATTAAGATAATTTAGATATAAAACACAACCGATTCACTAAAACCTATGTACTAGATTTATGTTAAAATTATCTTTGAAATCAAGAAGGTGCTTGTTGTCTTTGCATCTGTATGATTTTTTTTTATTTCAAAGCTGCTTTACTAAATTTGATCTTCCATTATCTCCCTCTTGCATTTACATAATTGTGTATTCAGCATTTACATAAAAAAAAAACATATATATTTTAACTTACCGAGTGTTCACGTAAATTTGTGAGCATCACAATCAAGTCAGATTTTTCGTTCCAAATCATTTGCCAAAATGTTTCAAAGTCGTTTGTTGTTTTTGAAGTTGGCCCTTAATCACAGTAATTAAAAGTTTAAACATAAATTTATAAATTGTTAATATTTTAGACTTATATTGAATCAAACGCAAAAATATTTAACAAATCAAGTAACATGTGACAGAAGCTATGAAGCATAAGTATCAATAAAAAATTTTGTCTTTTATTTTATTGCTTAAATAATTTATTATCATATTATCATAGCTTAAAACTAATTTGTCATAAATGATTCAACTCAAATACCTAGTGATGCTATGTAGCTTCTATTTTGCTTGTACCCCTGCAATTTAGAAAAAGCTTTTATTTCAAACATACATGTACGATTATCATGAAAAATCAAAATCACGGATACTATTTAAAGCCAAAATTGCATCTTATCATTTAAGAATGCTAATAGTAGTAAATGTCACTTACATCAATGTAGCATGCGTTAATAAAAAAAGCCGCATCCCCATTAATTTTTACCCTGGAATGGTCGTCTGAAATGAAATTGTAAAAGAAATAATTACATCTGATATAACATTGACAGTTTATCATTTTTACACAAGGTTAATTTCTATGGTATGATGCACAAAAAATCATATCTTAATCACTTATATATTTTTAAACATTAAATGAATTAATTGTAATAAACGTATGCTTACATGGGTAAATTCCATTGTATCTATTAAGAGCAATGTTCTCAGGCTTTCTGGCAAACGTGCATGGTTTTTGTAGCCCTGTTGGTAGTTTCTATAAATTCATGGAATTATTGAAATGAATGTGATAAAGACTTCAAAATGAGTCGTAAAAATGTTGCATGTTTGTAAAGTAACTGTTTAAAACATTTATCTTTTAAAAGCATATATAAACCATATACTTAGTAAATTTCTAATAAACGTTAAATTTTCATGTTATTTTAATTTCAGATTTATCAGTTAATGTGTTTTATCTGTTAACTATTTTTTTTTTTTCATATGTATCTTTACATAATTTTTATCATAAATAGTTAATGAAATCTGTATCTATAATTTATTGATGTATCCGTTGAAGAATTACATATTTTTGACACAGACATTTATTTAGAAAGACTAATACGTATTAAATCATGATGCTGATAATGTTTGTATTTCCGGGCGAGGCCAGATATATGTGGCAGTTGGGTTTGGACATTGAGTCAATGGCCTTTTGTCTACTGATTCTAAAATCATTATTTAAAATCAGGATTAGATTTAGTAGAAGATCATTCGAGGATAAACTTGTTAAACAAACAAACCTACCTGCTGGTACTCAACTTCAAATGTATCTTTGCGCCCACAGACATAAGCGTAAAGCTCCGACACTCCAATTCTATCTATTTGTTCAATAATTTCAGGAGAATTCGAGTATTCGGTGATTTCACTAACTATATTTGGAACATCATCAACCTCCTGTAGATCTTCAAAAGTTGTTTCTTTCTCATGTTTTGTCTCACTTTTTCTTTTTTTCTTATTAGAAACAGAGTTTCCTTAACCAAAGAATAAAGTAACAGATTAGAGCTTTGGTAAAAAAATGCCAATTTTAATAAATAATGTTGAAAATAATGGAATTCCTTTCCATTTCATGAAGTTTATAACTTTTTTATTTTCAAGGTGAATATATATCTAACATCAATTTGACCTTTCTTCATACATATTTAATTGCTCTTATAAAAAACGGATATATCACTTTTTACATTTCAAAAGCGTTTGTTTTCTAGTCTTGGTATCAACTAACCATTTTGTTCTTTTTAACTTGCCTATGAGTCATAAAATTTATGTAACAATAATAAAGTAAGAAATTTACTTACCAATAAATGGCACATTTTGATACAATCCATCTGTTTCTTTTTTATTTCTAAAATACATACGTTGATTTTTAGAGTTATGTTTTTATGAAATTAGATCACCATTGAAATTCTGTTTCTCCATAATGCTGATTCAAAATAACATTTACAAAATGTTTTCCATCGTTTTTCAAAAACAATACATCATACAAGAATGTCTTAATATCCCCAGAGGCTTAATGATCGCAGTTTGTTTGAATTATGCGGACATTTTATCACTGAATTTACTGAAACGTTCTTCTTGAGTCAAATTGCGTTTGGTTGATACATTATCTTCCTTTGTTTTAGTCATTGCAAATTGCATTTATGAAATGTATGATTAAATATTTTTCGTAATAATAATTTATTGGTTAATAACAAATATATATCAGTAATCTGAATGTATTTCTGTATATATGGTTGAATGTAAGTCGTGGATATATTTAAATGTTAATGTGCTGGTCATTGCTATATGCGCTTAAGTTTAAAAATGTTATCTCCCGTATTTTGCATTTAGAACGTATTGATTCGGCATGAACAAACAGTATAATCTCCCTCCTATAATATTACAAAGTGGGTATGTTTTTAATCATGCAAAGTACTTAATCACTGAAAAATATAACTTAATAAAAGAGCTTTAATGATTCACATTGAAGCAATAAAGTAATATGGAAACATTTAGAATACATATAAAGTAATTAAAATAGAATTAACATCATTATGCCATAAAAGTTATACACCATAGCTCAATCTAAATACTTTTAGCGGAGCAATAAATACAGAACAACATACGAGGGGTTATCCAAAAGTTCGTGGACTTTCTTTTTTGCATAAAATAAATTTGAGATATTGATTTGAAATTTTTACATTGCTTAGAACAAAGATAACAAATAAACACATAAAAATTCATGTTAGTAGCTTCTTATCTTAAAACAATATCTAATTTTACATAAACGCATGTCAGCGACAGCGGCGCACTCCAAAAAGTTATTGACGTCAACGCAATTATATTTATAGTACAACTTGTGCTTCAACGTAACGCAGTCAATAACCATTACTGCTTCACAAAGTAATGTCCATCGTTATTTTTTTCTGTCACTTAAACACTACTGAAAGAGAAAAAAATTATTTTCTCTGTTCGCCGGCTGTTTTTTCCAAATGTTTTTGTTGGTGTCATTTCCAAATAACAACAAGATTTTATGATCACGCTATTTTCTAACTTCTGCGTGTCCGTCATTTTCCGTTGTAAACAATATCGTGGTCTGGCGATTTCAACATTAATTAACGGAAATGACGTCCATAATTTTAACGAATTACTAAAATTACATCATAGAAGAAATATGCGATGTTTAGCGGATTTTCTACGTTAATCAGTAGTTTTTTTAGCAAAAAATATACGATGACTTACTACAGTTTTCGGGTGCCGTGTACATGTATGTGCTTATTTAAAAGCAATATAAAACCATTATTTATTGACGGAGTTAATTGTTCGTTTCAAAACGTGTTGATATTATTCTACAATGTATGCTGATAAAATCCCATTACAATACACGTTGACGTTCAAAAGATATTTAAAAAGTCCACGAATTTTTGCATAACCCCTCGTATATAACTTCATTAATTTTAATTACCTTCTTTTTAAGAAAAATACAGCTAAAAGGATGCTCACAATCATAACAACAGCAACACCTGAAATACTTCCACCTATAATGCCAACATTATCTGATGATTGTGAGTCTGCTGTTTTAACGTTTACTGAAATATATACATAAATAAACCAAGGAATACATAGGTAACACTGCATACAAATCATACAAGTTTTAACAATTACTTAGCTTTACAATTGTTGTCATGCATTAAATGTCAGCAACAGCATTTTGTTTTTATAACTTTATCATATATACCGTTTGTTTGTCTAAAAATAAAAGCTTATTAATTGAATATTGCTTTGCTGTAACCTTTTTCATTTCATGTCTTATTGATACCTAAAGTGTTTAAAAATCGAAAACACAAACGAACAAACAAATATAAATGCAGGAATGTCATCATTTTGTAAAAGTATTCCAATTTTAAGTATTGGGTATTAGAAATAAGCAAATGCATATATCATCGACTTACTTTTAGTTGTGATCTGAAGATTCTGGGTAAAGGAAGAGTTCCCCTTTTTATTCATTGAAAACATTGTTATATTATACACTTTAGAACTCAACAAGCCAGTTAATGTATAGTCCATTGCCTGTTCATTTGAATCCTGAACTTGAACACTATGCCACTTCTCCTCCTGATGGTACTGATATAACAAAATGAAAGTCTGTGGAAAGCCACCATCAAAACCTGGAGTCCAAACCAATGTTTACTGACGATTCAGTGATTGATCCCGATTTATACGTTAAATTAATAGGCACATCTGGCTTATCTGTAAAAGACATTATATATATATATATATAATATATATATATATATATATATATAATATATATATATATATATATATATATATATATATATATATATATTATTATAATTATAATTAATATTATAATTATTATATATTATTAAGAAATAATACGCAAATACGACATTAGTTTAAACCAGTAAATCATTATAAATCATAATATAGTCACTTTTTTATTTTTTAACAATATCATGCATATATTATTTTCATAGGATATGACCCATACATAATAATCAATAACATATTCATTTTGAAAAATTCATATGAATTAAGAAATGTAGTTTACCTTCTGCTTGCAACACATAGTGATGAATATACTCTCCTATGGTGTTTGACACTTTGACGCTATATTCTCCAAAATCTATTTGTGTAATGTTTCTAACTGAAAGGCTAGAATTTAATCCACTTGTGAATATTTCAAACTTTTCATCATTTCTTTCGATTGCAACATTTTTGTGGAACCACATAAATTCCGTTTTATTTTCTTCATCCAAGTATTCATAAGCAACAAAATTCATAATCTTATTTGTATACTGAGCAGCTGCGATCTTATTGGGGAATATGCTATCAAGTGACGGTCGTGGCGAACCTGGAATTTATTCAATATATTTCAATAGAAATAGTTCACAACATGTTCGTTCTAAAGCTGGAATAATATAACGAAAAAGGATTTACACAAGAAACACCACACGAGTTAAAGTTTAAAAAACAAACTTCTTATCAGTCATCACTCCTACTAACACAGTTACAGGATCCTCAAAGTTATTTGACCATCCGCGATATTTAACTACCAAAATACAGAGTTATTTTCAGCAAATAAAGAATGTACAAAGATGTATAAGCAAAAAAAAAATGCTAGTCTGTTTTGAAGAAACCATCGAACAATATTGAGCGCTGCAACGTCGTTGTTGTCGTCATCATGCAAAAACTTTTGTGTAGCCCAGTACCCAATTAATATTAAAGGTATTAATATGAAACTTGGAACACTTGCTTATCTTGACAAGAACAATTGTAAGACATGGGGCAATATTCTGAAAGCTATGTTTAAGAGAAATGCCCGTTTGATTTTTTTTGTCAAAATAACTATTTAAGTATAAGAATTTATTCAAAACAATAAAGGACATCACCATGACTATTCGAAGACTTGTTAATCTTAACAATTTAAAAGCTTAATGTATGGTGGCTGATTTGTGACATAAAATTTCGCCCCGCGTCCCTGCCAAGCGAAATGTTGAGAAAAAACAAGTTAAAATGGCAATTTGGCGGAGCGAAAATCCGCTTATAAGTGAGGGTGCGGTGCGAGATTCAAAAAATAAAACGTTACACCCCGGTGGCGCGAAGCAGGCATTAAGAAATAAAACGACATGGGCGCGGAGTGAAAACACGCTCTTAGCCGGGGCGGTGCGATGATAAAACGTCGCCCGCTCCACCGCTAATTAGCTTGTTTTCGCTCTGCGGCCCCGCCATTTTATGCATTCATTTTACCTCAACCAGCGAGACCGCCAAGCGAAAAGTCGAGGAATAATAAGACAAGAGGGCCATGATGGCTCTGAGTCGCTCACCAGAAACAACTGCTTTTCAGTGTGGGGATTTATCCACTGTCAATATGTTCTTATATTAAATTTGAGCATTTAATATGTATAAACAATAATTTGAAGAAATATTATGACCTGGGTCATTTAAGCCTTAGCTTAAACGGGTCAAATCAAATAAATATGAGCAAACTTGAAAAAAAGAATACCTGAGAATGTTACAAAGTTTGGTGATCATCTATCAATTATTTCAGTAGGAAATGATGTTCAACGGTTTTTCTATTTTTAGCTTTAGTCGCCCCCAAAAGGTCTTATCAAATAAATATGAGAACACTTGATAAAAGTTGAATAAATAAAACGTCACCCCGCGCCCCCACTTACTAGCGTGCTTTCGCTTAGCGCCCCCGCCATTTTAATTTGCAAATTCTCGGCTTATCATTTGGCTGGTACGCCGGGCGAAAACGCGTACGGCACAAACTAGCCACCATACAAGGGAAATTTTGCTAAAAGTTATATAAATCGGGAGTAATAATATTTTGATGCCTTTTTTTTAACTTTATGCAAAAGTTGCTGATAATTTTGATTATTTCAAAACTATGAAAAAATCAATATAAAATTGGAACCCTTGATTGTGAGTAGCCGAAGTTGTAAAACAAGGGGCATTCGTGAAAAATCAAAATATTAAGAGTTTTGTAGCTTGATATCTATTTTAACAAAATTGCTTATTTTGTGGAAGATTTAAAAGACTGAAAGATTTGTTATTGCTTGCAAGGCACAGTTGAAATACAATGGGCATATTATGCATATCATTTTTCTGTAAGCTATATTTCTGTAGTAATGCCCCTTTTCAATTTAGCGATTTTGTCACAACTTCTTATTATCAGTACGCTGATTTCAAAAATTTGAAACGTGTTATACTTTATAGTCATGACAAGGCACTATATACTCAACTCAAGACATTATGCCTCTTAAAGAAGTTATGCTATTTATAAAAATGTGTAAATGATTGTGAATATACATTTTACAGAAGAGCATTAACAGTTCATGTTGTGCTCTTTTTTCCACATAGTGACCAGGATCTGATTGTCCTTTCGCACAATCAACAGTAAGAGGACCACCTAAGTTATATACATACTTTATAAAAAAAACAACAGTCAATAACAAAAGCTGTATAAGCTATTGTTAAAACGTATTTTAATCAGAACAGTCATTGAATAAAGGTAGTACAAGCAAAACGTAACAAGGCATTATAAAGTATTTTAAGGGAATTAATTATTATATTAAGCAATGCGGCTATAAGTCTCTGACAATGTACATTCTCTACCTTGAATCTGAAATCTTTTGTTTTTACTTTTCTGAGAAGTATTTTTTTTTATTTATTGACACTATTAACTAGTTTAATACTATCTTTATGAATATCAGAAAAAAACTAAAATAAACAATGCTCTTTACTCTGTATCTTAACATTAAGTGGTAATGATACAAATAAAAGAAAGATTTTACTCACGCGTAAATGTGTTAACCAAATAGAACATTTTTATAATCATGGTGAAAATTAAGGTAACTAACAAAATATGTCTTTTTCATTTATGTCACTGGCAGTCCGGGAAAGCAATATTTAACGTATTTTAATATCATAAAAGACGAAAATTAAACTATGAATCAAAGTAATTTATTTGTTTTTAAACTTTTTATTTTTTCGCACATTTTCTATGTATTTTATGGCTGTACGGACGAAAGAACATTCAAGACGGCGACTGTATCCTCGCTCTTTAGAGGAAACATAAAATTCCTACAATTCATTACATTAAACGCAAAATCAAAGTAAGTGATGACAGCTAAACGGATATCTAAAAACGATAGTATGAGACATTCAACTCAACAAATTCGAAAAATCTTATCCGTGAACACTTGAAACCATCCAAACGGTTTTTGTTAAATTGGAACTATAGTCCTGCATAACGTGACGTTCTCTTGTTGGTATAAACTGCGAATGTGTTGAAAATTAAGGCATGATTTGAGTCGGTAGTCGCGAAGTTGATCGGTAGGCTTGAATGTTAAATTACAAAGAATTTGTATTTGTTGTGCTGGAATGTAAGACAAAATAATATCTATGTTCATTTTAAACTGCGGATAGAGAAAGAACTAATGAAAAGACATAATGAAACCCATTTAGCGGAGAAGTAATATTCATGCTATCGTTTTGTTAATTTACATCACAGTTGACGTCATATATTAACCTTTAAGTAATCCCTTTTGTATGACGTGCATATAATGCCTTAAAGTGTCTGTTTAACAGGGGAATATTACAAAGCGGGATGGAGTTAAAAGAAAACGCGTCATGATGTTTTTGTTACCACATTAAGATTTTGGCTTTATATCATCATCTGATAAATAGTCTTAATTTATTTGACAGTGGAAATAAATCATAGCGTAAAAGAAAAAAAACTGAAGTGAATGTTCGTTTTAAAAATAAATAAATTTAATAATTAAATAATTAGTTCTATTAAGCGCGAAATATAATTATGTTTTATAAAAAAAACTTACATTACTCAACAGAGTGATCTAGTATCAGATAAAACATGAATGTCTTACATAAAAACACATCATAAAATCCCACACACGGACCATGATATAAACAAACTGACTTTTTCAGCAAAACCCCCAGAAAC